CAAAAGCTCTACAGCCCTTTCGTGGACCCCGAACGCTTTTTCAGTTCCGTAATCCTATACATAGTCGGTAAGACTCCTTGGTCGGGGGATCAGCCAGTGGCAAGGCCGCTACTTACACACAAAACCTCATTAACACAGAATAAATGCAAACAGACAACCATGCCTGGAGCTGGATTCAAACCCATGACCCTAGTGTTCGAGCGGAAGGAGACAGTTTTTCAAAAGGTAGAGTTATCTCTGTAACCGGCCGTGGGGGCCCATGGAGTTGTGACATGTCGAGGCTCCCACATTTTCTAGAGATAATCAGCTCACAGATGGCGGTGAGGTTGTCAGCCTTACGCGCCGGCCGCCCTTTACCTCCCAGGAAGATCCCTGATACTCATTTCTGTTAGAGGCTGAGTTGACTCCAGGGCCATAGCGCGGCTAGGATTAGATAAATTGAAAAATCCAATGAGCTCATTGGGGATCGGCTTGTAGCATAGTAGTAGCATAGTGCCTCAACCAACTACGCTAAAGCATGCCCCAAATTATGAAAATTAAAAGCATTTAATAATATTCTTCTATCTTAAATATATGAGGAGCTTTACAGTTCCTTCACCTCACCAAATATAATTAGAATGATCACGTAGAGGCGGATGAGATGGGTATGGCATGTAGCACACATGGAGGGAAGATAAATGAATTTAGGGTTTTGATTGGAAGCCAGAAGGAAAGAGACAATTAGGAAGAGCTAGACGTAGGTGGGAGGACAGTATTAAAACGAATCTTAGATAAACAGGACAAGGCAGTAAGGATTGGAATAATCTGGCTTAGGATAAGGATGGCCCTTGTGAACCTCAGGTTCCACAAAATATGTGAAAATCATTGAGTAGGTGAGCGACTGGCGCCTCCTCAAGAAGGAGTTACTTTGGATAGTTACTTCTATCCTGAATATTCCAGTCAGACCAGTAGAAATAAAGTGAAGACTTCTTAAATGTACGTTTATAAACATATTTCTGGCTGCGTTTTTTTTTGGGGAAGACTGGAAAAATTCCTAGCGCCAACAGAAAACAACCGCTGAACACATTGTAACCCTTATCAATTGGTTGTGATTGTGCAGCAAACCAGTAACGCAGTTTGTGTCTATGTCTGTGCATGAAATAAATTACATGATCAGGATGCAATAGGACGAGGGCTGCGGATGTGACGATAGGCGACACGTCGTTACAGTGTGCCACGCAAAGCAAATTAGATTTACCCTCACTACCTGAGCCCGCCCCACAAAGGGAGGGGTTTCCACAGAGACAATGGAGAGTGTAATGGAAGATTCGCCGACACTGCGCTCTAGGAGGAAAATAGTGAATTTTAGTCGTCACTCTTTTTTTTTTGTAATTTCAGAGGCCGGATTATGAGATTTGAAGTTTCCACAGCGACGGTGGTTTAAATTGTGGCCTTGTGGATGATGACGTCCAACGAGGTTACGCGGTATCACAGCCCAGAAGCCCACAGTTTGAGCATAATGAAATGTGGGATACGGGTTTTCCCCCATGAATATCTAATAGAAAGTTTAAAGCGAGAATAATAATAATAATA